ATCCACTCCGAGCAGCCTCATCTCAGCCATTGCTGACTGATGCTGCTGTTGCATAAATCTCTGCTGCTCGCGTGCGGACTGCCTGTGTCCAGGCTGGTCCGTTGTTGGGAATGCCATCGGTGAGCTTGTTGGACTGCCAGAGGCCTGGCCATGGCGTGGAGCGCTGAAGGGCGTAACTGCCCTTATAGCGGCTGCCAGTCAGGATGTTGGCGCAGCATGGCCATGCGCTGCATGAGTTCCTCACTGCTCGTCAGTGCTGCTCGTAATCGATTGGGCGCGTCCGCCCCTGACGCTAGGCTCGGCTCGAATCTTGGCTTACCGAATGCCGCGGGCTCGAACCTAGTAGAACCAGCGTTTGACCGTGGCCTTGCCGGTCCGAAACTTATGGGCGGACCTGCTGGTGAATTTCGCAGGGCGTCGGCCCACGGATTGAACCCGCCGAACGCGACCGACAGAGTCGAGACGTCAGTGGATTGAGGCAGCATCCATGAGGATGAATCTGTGTCGGCTGGCAAGGCTGCCGGTGGCCCGGCATATGTTGGCGCGGCTTCGCCCGCAGGTGTCCCCGTTTCATCGGTGGGCTGATATGCGTCTCTTCAAGTTCCGATGACGCATCGTCTGGGTCGAGATCTGTGCGGGAGGCAGGTCCACTTTGGTGTTCCATACTCGGGCTTGAACCAGCTGCCTGGGGGCTCAACATCCTCGATGGTTTTCGGGCAATTCCGCAACTCGTGATACTCGTCTTAGAAATACTGGGGATTGTACCAGGCATGTTTCCGCTCGTTTTCGGGCTTCAGCGCTAGCTGGAAGAAGTACTTGGTCGGAATAATGCCATCGAAACCGTCCGTCGTCACGATGTCGCTGGCAGAACGCCGCACCTTTGCTCCGTCTTGTAATAGACGCGGGATGGATCATATGAATAAGTTTGGATGGAGCCTGAGGCCCGATTGGATGCTGGGGTCTCCTGGCAGATGCGGGACCCGTGCACAAACTGCCCACCGTGCTCATTTCTTAGGTTCTGCTCTGCACGACAGGACAGCCCGTGCCCGAGGATGTTCAGGAGGTAGTATCCCCTGGTTCCATGCATGAAGAACCTTGGGGAGTCCTGACTGCCTGCATCTGTCAGTGGAGCGTGCAGTGATTCTGGGCACAAGATGCCAGGAGGCGAGTGTCCGTTGGTGGCTCTGATCCACAGTGTTGGGACATCGTCGTCATCGCGCGTGTACTTTGGCTGGAAGCGTGCGTTCGTGGCGCACGAATAATCCTTCATCTCGGCGATGTTTAGTAATAGTAGTAGTAGTAGTAGTCGTCGTCGTCGTCGTCGTCGTCGTCGTCGTCGTCGTCGTCGTCGTCGTAGTAGTAGTAGTAGTAGTAATAGTAGTAGTAGTAGTAGTAGTAGTAGTAGTAGTAGTAGTCGTAGTCGTAGTAGTAGTAGTAGTAGTAGTAGTAGTAGTAGTAGTAGTAGTAGTAGTAGTAGTGTAGTAGTAGTAGTAGTAGTAGTTGTGATAGTAGTAGTAGTAGTAGTAGTAGTAGTAGTAGTAGTAGTAGTAGTAGTAGTAGTAGTAGTAGTAGTAGTAGTAGTAGTAGTAGTAGTAGTAGTAGTAGTAGTAGTAGTAGTAGTAGTAGTAGTAGTAGTAGTAGTAGTCGTAGTAGTAGTAGTAGTAGTAGTAGTAGTAGTAGTAGTAGTAGTAGGAGTAGTAGTAGTAATGGTAATTGCCATGTCACACATTCGGGTGGTGGGCCAATCATCGCATTGGCGAATGCCTCGCAATCGCGACCACCCCAAAGGTGGGCAAGGGCATCCCGGACCTCTATCCATCCATCGCAAGGGCCCCAGGACCAGCAATCCCGCATGAATCTCCGGCAGCACACATCGCAACGAAATGGCCTATGCCTGCAGGCGCGAGACCACCGCGCAGACATAGCAGTCATTTACCTTTGACGTGGTCAAGGTAGGAATTTGCAATGATTTCTCCTCACTAAGGCTTCTGACCGCGTCTTCCCCCCCCAGAGAGTCAGAGGGCCCGCGACGCGAAGCTTCCTGCGCAACGCATCGCGCGGTGTTTCGGCGGCGGGTTGCGTCGGCATCGCAGATGGGCCAAAGTTGTTATCTTTGTTGGGCGTGTCCGCCCTTTCTTGTTTTGGAGGTCCTGCGGGGGCGTCCACCCCAGCTGGGGCGTCGGTGCCGTGCTGCCTGTTGGGCATAGCCTGCGACCTCGGCATGACCAGCACAGTCGGCGGCGGCTGGGCTGATGACGAGGCCGCGGCCGATGGCGCGGCAGATACCTCGGCAGGTGGCCCACCCTGGAACCGCGCCCGAGGTGGTCCAACCCTGGAACTTTGCTTGCGTAGCGCTGATCAGCGCCGCCCTTTCCTTTGCTGATGGCCAGAGGGTGTCCGAGTGAATGCCCTCCGGCTTGGGCTGTGGCTGCATGCCTACTGGTAGTGGTTGTGGTAATTTGCCGGTGTCCTGGCTGGGTTCCTCCTTCGTCTTCGGCGGTAGGTCTTTTGTCGCCTTCTGCTTTCTCATTGCGGCCTCATCGAAAGGATCGTCAGGTTTTGGTTGATCCTTGCCCGCGGCCGAGCTCGAACCTCTCTGGCTCGCGGCCGATAGTTTCGGTGCCCAGGTACCTCGAAAAGCCCGGTCCTTCTGCGATTTGTCGGATCTTTTAGTTGCCGGCTGATCGGGCGTAGGTGTCGAGCTTCCGTTGAACCGTTCAGCTGTCTGCTTGACACGGCTTTCGCGCCCAGTAGAGCCGTGCTTATCCTTGTTATTTCTTATATCGTTTTTGTCCTTATCTTCGAACTCGGGGGATTCTTCCAGATCCACCTCTTGATTTGGACGTAGCTTCTTCTTGGCAACCGCGTCTCCTTGGGTCTCCTGGGCGCGTCCGCCCATTGACCTGGCCGGCGATGTCGGCGCGGGGCGCCGTTCGCCCTGCCCCCCCCCCTCTCCAACCTTTTCATCTGACGCTTAAATCAATCGTGGAGGGGGCGCAGGGGCCTCGGCACTAGAACTACCAACGATCTGACCTGTCGCGATCAGCTCCCGGCGACGGGGAAGAGCGCTGTCGCCGCTGCCAGCATGGCTAATCAGGATAATAAGAATGATAATAATCTGCATGGCGATGCCGCCAGTCCGATTGGTATACCTTAAGGATGTGGTCATCTGGTAGATCTGGAGATGCTTTTTCTACTAATTCCCTACCTAAGCTCTGCCTAGAAGGGTTCTTACCCTCTAAGCTTAAAGGGGCCGGGCAGTGGAAATCGCCCCGGGCGGTTCCCCCGGCATCCGCCCCGCGGTTCCCCCGGTTGCGCCCCCTTAGCTTAGCGTTGATTATCTTAGCTTTGCTTAGTTCATTTCGTCTCAGCTCAGCTTAGCTTCATCTTAGCTCAGGTCTATCTTAGCTGAGTTTACCTTAATCTTAGCATCGTCGAGCTCTAGCAGAGCAGAGCACAGCATAGCATAGCAGAGCGTTGCCAAGCATAGCGCAGCACAGCATATCATAGCAAAGCCCAACATAGCACAACATTGCGCAGCATAGCATAGCATAGCACAGCATAGCGCAGCACAGCACAGTACAGCACAGCATAGCACCGCATAGCATAGCGTAGCATAGCATTGCAGAGCACAGCATAGCACAGCAGCAAAGCAAAGGCGCAGCAACAGCAGCGACAGAAAAGCAAAGCTCAAGCAACGCAAAGCGAAGCAAAGGCAAAAGCAAAGCAAAGCAAAGGCAAAGCAAAAGCAATGCGCGACAGATGCCGAGCTAGCCTCGATGGCCGGACCGGAGCCCCCGCAAGCAGCGCGCTCCGTAACCATTTCGGCTCAAGTCTGGAGGCCCCTGCCGCGCAGCCGCCCACGCCCATGTCCAAAGGTTGGCGGAGTGAGGCGTTCAGCGGTGCTGCAGAGCCCGCCTCGGCACCAGGTGGTGCCGCACAGCCCACCCAGCCTGTTGTGGCCATCGATGTGGGCGACGTCGCTTTCAAGCGGAACGGCGATGAGCGGGTTGAAGGCAGCAAGATGCACGCGGCTGCGGCTGAGCACGGCCTGCAAGACATGCACTTCATCAGTCGCGCGACGCGGGGCACGTGGTACTCGCACCATGCCCGCCTGGGCAGGGTAGAGGCGTGGGTCGTCAGGATGATCTGGGGCGCAGGCTTGCTCGAGATGGGGATCCCTGACGCGAACATCCATTTGACGTCTCACAAGAGCGGGGAGGATGGCAAGGGCGTTGCTTCTCAGCATGTGCAGCTGACCCACATGATCGACAACGACCTCGAATGTTTGTGGAGCGTCTTGAACGACGGAGTTGGCAACTCGGGCCTGTCGATCAGGCGGAGCCAGGGCCGCGCCATCCAGTGCACGCGCATCCGCCCTGTGGACAGCAGGCGGTGGCTTGATGAAGACGACGACTGGCTGGAGAGGTGCGACTCGTGGTTCCAGGTTGCCGAATACTTCAAGCTGGAGCCACTGGACATCTGGGACGAGTTGGCGAAGCTCGGGCCGCCACCCCACGTCGCGCGGAGGCAGGCCCCTGACAGCGGCGGACGTGATCGATCTGTGTCAAAGCGATGGTCGCCGCGAGCCTAGCCGCAGTCGCGGCCGTCTGCGTCATTCTCGCGGCGACGACGACGACGATCACGCCGATGAGCCTCGCCGGCTTGAGGCCAGGCGCCGCGGGGGCAGCGCCGTGCAGCCTGCTGACGCCCGGCAAATCCAGGCGTCCATGGTTCAAAATGAAGAGCCGCAGTGGACTCACACGCGACGGCCGCCTCTGCCCGCGACCCTGTATGCCTACATGTCTGGCTGTCACTTCAGAGCTATGTACCGTGGCCACGGCTTATTCAAGGTTGCGCACCTGCTGGAAGCCGTGCACCCCGACGATGGCCACCCATTCTCCCGCAAGGTCCTCAAGCTCTGCAAGGAAGCGGACCCACAGCCCAAGCTTTTGCAGAACACGGGGACAGCGGCGTTTACCCGCAGATTCTTGCGGCAGCTCCCGTCTTTGAGCTCAACAGCGTTGCGCAACCTGTCTGTCAATGGAACGGCTGGATCACTGAGCTAGCCGTTCCACTGGACCAGGCGCTAAGGCGCGGTGCATGCTCCGAGCAGCGCATTGTTGGAGCAGCGCGCTGCATGCTCCGAGCGGCCACGCATGGGCATTCCATGGATGACCCGCCCCTCTGCAACTTTGGAATGCTGGAGGGCGGCGTCGTTACAATCGACGCTGGCTGCTCGCCTCTGTTCGACAACGAGATGGCAAAGTCACGATTCAACAAGAATGTGATGAAGAAATTCTGGGCCAGAGCTGGGCTTGTCATCGCGCCCGAGGAGCTGGCCAGATACCAAGGCGCATGGCAGAATGCTTCGACGATGGCCGAGGCGCACGTCGCATTCGATTCTCTGTGGGACTCTCGCCGAAGCAGAGCTGGACAGCCTGCGCCTGCGTCTGCCCCGCTCGTCCTCGCACCGTCCTCTCACCCAGCAGCGCTGAACAGCCTGCGCCCCGGCATCGCGCCGCATGTCCACACTTGGCCGCTGCCTTGGAGGAGCTCTCGGACGAGGTGCTGGAGTGGGTCACGCGCAACTTTCTATGGGGCAATATGTCAAGGCACGGGCTCCTCTCTGACGGCCTTGCCGGATACCTCCCGGACGACGAGCGCTGCGCTGCTGAGGTCAAGTTGGAGCTGCTGATCAGATTGACAACCGGACGCCGCGAGAGAATACGCAACGACTCCAGCATCGACATCCTGAGTGAAGAAGAACTCGATCGCGCCTTGAAAGATTGGAAAGGCGACTACGAGCAATGGATGCACCCCCAGACGCTGCGAGCGTGGCGGGCGGCATCGGGGCAGCCATGGCATCCAATGTTGCGGCGCGCGTTCACCCGCTGGGAGCTAGAGTTGGCCCTTTTCTTTCTCGTTGCTCCTTTCAGCGGTCGCAACTTGGAACACTTCCGCAGCTCGTGGAACAGCTCCGCCACTGGCGCCACAGCTCTTGAGAAGGCCAAAGATGCCCTACGCCAGGCGGCAGGAGCGATCAAGCATGGACAGACCGCGTGAAAAAATGTACCTATGTGTGTATGTATGCATGTATATGTGTATGTATCTATGTGCGTATGTATGCATGTACGTATCCATGTATGTTGCTATGTATGTATATATATATGTCTGAATACATGTATGTATATGTGTATGTATGTTTGTAGGTTTATATGTGTGTATATGTATGTATGTACATAGCTGTCTGTAGCTTCCTGCAGGATGTTGCGCGGCCGAATGTCGTTCGGGCCGGGCGTCGCCAATGCCAGCAGCGCTGCGCAGCCTGCTGCCACAGACGCCTCGATGATACTCAGTGCTGAACAGCCTGTTGACCCCGACGCGGCAGGTTTGGACGTGCGCTGGCAGGTTGAGCATTCGACGGACCAGTGGTGGGACATCCCCCTTTCGGCAGTCATTGACAAGTTGTACACGGAGTCAGCACCTGGCGTCACTTACAGCTATGACTGGGGGGACGGCAGGATCAGTTGTTATGAGGTCCACTTTGCGAGGCGTGAGCAGGTGAACATCGACGCGCGTCGTGTTCGCCGGGTACGGCGTGCGTTCGTGGGGACCTCCGTTAACGCCTCGAGGTAAAGCTGCCGCGCAGATAGAAGTGCTGAATAGCCTTCGAGGCGCAGGGCTGGACAGCGTGCGTTGTGGCCGACCTCCGTTCAAGCCTTGAGTTGAAGCTGCTGCGCAGACAGAAGTGCTGAGTAGCCTTCGCGGCGCAGTGCTGAATAGCCTGCGTTTTGGCCGCGGCGATGCAAACTGTTGAGGAGCGGGCGTGGAGGCGAACAAAAACATCATCGCAGTCGCCGCCGTCGCCCCCGCCATGGGCATCATCGCATCACCGCAGCATCCACCACCACCACCACAGCATCCACCACGCCTCGCCAGACGAGGCGAAGACTGGCAAAAGCGGGAGGACCACGCTCGCACGCAGCAGGCGAGGGCATGGTTTTGAAAAGGATGCCGCCGACCTCCACGGGGTTTCCTCGGGCCTCCTCCGGTTGCCCTGTTGGTCCTTAGCTTAGCTTAGCTCAGCTTAGCTTCACTTAGCTGTAGATGTGGATGTAAATGTAGATGTAGATGTAGATGTAGGTGTAGCTGTAGATGTGGAATGCTGCACGTGTGTGTGTGTGCATGGTTGAGTGTGTGCATATATTTGTTCAGCACCGCGTCGTAATGCCTTTCATCCTCGTTGCCTTTCAGCCTCAATTCCGTGGCTCGCATTGCCACGCAAGAGCGTGCAGCAGTATATTGGATCATGCGGGCATTCGCACGGACCTCGAGCGGCGAGGCACGAGACGCAGCAAGTAGTGTTGAGCAGCCTGCAGAAAACACTGTTCCAACCAGTGTTGAACAACCTGCAGAGACGTTCAGCTCCATCGCGGCCGTGAATCGATGGTTGACTGCGCAAGGTGCTGCGTGTAACACTCCAGACTTTCGAAAACTTCGCGCGGCAGTTTCGGTGCTCACGAAGACGCCCAACCCGCTTCACAGCCCGGCAGCCAGCAAGCAGGGGCACCGGCGAGTTCTAGCTCGACGCTGCCCGGACGCACGGAGAGCAACGCCGGCGCTGCACAGCCTGGCCCACCGACGAAGCAGCAGCGGCTTACAGCCATCGCCGCAGGGATCAGCAGATTGCAGGGAGATGTCGTCACCAAAAGCAGTACCGCACAACCTGGTGCAGCAACGACAGCACCAACACCAGCAGCAGCAGTACCACCACCTCCACTTGCAGCACGACCCGAACACATTCAACGCAACATCCTTCAGTATGGCTCGAACGCCGATGACCTTGCAGAGCTACGACGAGCCATGGTCCAAAAGGCGTAGGAGCTCAGACGACTCAAACGCCAGACGGCTGCAGACGACGACGGCAGCGAAGCACTTACGAAGTTGCTTAGACAGGCGAATCAGTTGCAAGGCATACCCGCCAGTCAAAGGACACTCCGATCAGCAAAGATCCGCACTCTCTACAACATACATTGTGGCACACTTCAGATCAGGAGACAACCGTGCAGAGGCCACATCCGTGATTACAAAACGGTCACTGCCGTTGCATGCCGTTCCCTTGTCTCCACAATCCAATCGTACCTCACCACACGAGAGCCACTGAACGAGGACACTTTCCCGTTCTTGACGAAGCTCCACGGGGCCACCGCTACAACAGAGCACGCACCACCCCGCACCGTACAGGAGCTTCATGCACGCCTCAACGAGGCCGAGACGCTGCCCACCGCACCGTTCGGGCGCCACGACCCGAACGAGCAGCTCTTCAATGCCCACGCGTGGTACTCTCTGACGATGCTGGCAGCATTGGAGCTGACAGACGTTCCTTTTTCACGTGCTACTGAGCACACACCGCACGGCCACAGCCCTGCAGGACGTCATCACAGAACGCCGCAGGTCCTACGCACAGACAGCCTCAGAGCAGCGACGTTCCACCCCTACCGTCACTGAGGTCTGCGAGGTGCTGCAGCAGTCCTACAACGATCCTTACGCACAGCACTTGAAGCAGGACTGGCTGCTGAAGGCCCTGAAGATCCCGGAGGCGCCACGGAGGATTTCTTCTTGTACGCTCAGCAACACGGGATCACGGCCACACCACTCTCAAACACACTTTAGCGACGTGCACCTTATTTCGCCGCTTGCTCACTTCGCAAAAGCCTCCAAAGGCATTCATTCTACGTTTTGGGCCTATCCTGCGGCATGTCGCCAACTTCAAGGGCGACTGTGGCAAACGGTACACACCACAGGACGCGTGTGGTGAGGATGTGGAACTCGCGGCGAACCGACTCCCGGTCTACTTCACCCGCCTCGCAGACAGTGCTGCACAGCCTGTAGGAGCACCAGACCCCATGTTTCCCGTGGCCTCGCGGAACCCATGATGACGGCCAGTGCGATGTGCCGCCGCTGCCTGCAGGCCAGAGGTACGTCCATGTCGCGGCAGGATCGGACCACGCCGTTCTGCTCAGGAGCGATGGGACGGCTTTGGCGCGCGGCTGGGATGATGGAGGCCAGTGCGACTTGCCGCCGCTGATGGGAGGTCTGACATACGTGCCGCATCTGTTGCCTACGCTGCTCCTCCAGGCCTCTGTCGATGCCGGCTCGGTGCATTTCGTGACCTTCGGCGGAGAGGACCGCTGCCAGATCGCAGTGGCGCCCGACGCTCCGCTCACCGGCGTGCGCGACTGGCTGCTGACCGAGCACCGCCCGGGCAGGCTGGGCCTCGGGCTCGGGCGGGCGGACGCCGTCCTGCCGGGGGGGGGGGGCTCCTGAGCGAGACCGCGGCCGAGGAGACGGTCCAGAGCGCCGTCGGCACCACCGTGCATGCTTCGGCGTCCGGAGAGCCTGCCACGAGCAGCCGCAGCCGGAGCCGGTCGGCTCCTGTCGGCCCGCGCGCGCCCCAGCCTTGCGTTGAAGCTGCTGCGCAGATAGAAGTGCTCAACAGCCTTCGAGGCGCAGTGCTGAACAGCCTGCGTTGTGGCCGCGACCATGGAAACTATTGCGGAGCGGGCCTAGAGGCGAAAATCATCATCGTAGTCGCCCCCGTCGCCCCCGCCGTGGGCACCATCGCATCGCCGCAGCATCCGTCGTGGGGGAGCCCACTACTGCTTAACAAAGCATAGCATAGCATAGCATAGCATAGCATAGCATAGCATAGCATAGCGAATCATAGCATAGCATAGCGTAGCATAGCACAGCATGAGCTTAGCACAGCGCAGCATAGCATAGCACAGCACAGCACAGCATAGCATAGCGCAGCATAATATCCACTATTGCTGCTGTATCCGCCGATCCGGCGTGCGAGTTTCAAGGAGTCTCAGCTACAGCCTCGAGGCTGAGCCTCAGCCTCTGGGGGGGTTGCCGGGGTGGCTCTGCCGGGGAAGGGGGGATGGGGGGGGGGTGCGAGTTTCCGGCGGATGCGGGGGGGATGCTTTTACAGAAGGCTCTAATCTCGAGGATGCGCTACAAGGGTTGCCGCGGCCGCAAAAGTCTCTTAGGACGGTCTACGAAAGTCCCGAGACCCCGAAAGATCGCCCGAACACGCCCAAGATGGCCCCAAGACGGCCCAAGAGCCTTCCAAGACGTCTGAAGAGGCCTCCAAGACGAGGGCCCCCAGATGCAAAAATCGTTGATTTCCATTGTTTTTTTCCATGTTTTTGAAGTTGTCGTTTTTTTTCGGCTTTCCGACGTTCCAAGACGGCCCAAGAGGCCCCCAAGACCGCTCGAAGACGGCCCAGGAGGCCCCCAGACAGTCCCAAGACGGCCCAAGAGGGCCCCAAGGCGGCCCAAAAGCTACCCAAGACGGCCCAAGAGGCCCCCAAGACGGCCCCAAGAGGACCCAAAAGAGGGACGAAAAGCGGAACAAATCTAGCCTTCCAGCCCACGAGGCCCCCAGGAGGCCCCAAGAGCCCCCAAGAGGGCCCCCCAAAGCCCCCAAGAAGCCCCCTCGACGCCCTGACAGGCTTCTGTGCGAGTGTCTCTGTGTGGTGCGTGTCTGCGAATGTCTGTGCGTGCTAGTGTCTGGCGTGCGCCTGGTGTGTCTCTGTATGTGTGTCTGCCGTATGTGCATTTGGTCGTGTGCGTGCGTGAGGTGTCCGCACGCACACGACCCGGATCGACGGCACTGGCCGAAGGCCACTACAATATATGTATACATATATACATATATATACACATACTAGAACCATCGCGCGCGCTTCGCGCGCGCTCAAGTTCTAGCTAGGATAATCGTCATCGTCATCATCGCCATCCTCATCACCATCATATCCGGCGTCATCGTCAGCGGCATCGGCATCATCACCATGACCATCACCATCATCACAATCGTCACCATCACCACCATCAGCAGCAACATCGTCATCACCATC